AAACCAAAACAGCTAAATTAGATTAAAAAGTATTTTTCTATAGTAACAATAAAATACTGAAATCAAATAATTTTAAATATCTCTTAGAAATGGTATTCGAACAACTGGCTGATAGTTGTTGTAAATATTTTTAAAACTTTTTGATAAAAATAAATAATTCCTACTGTGTTTCTTTCTTTAACTAACAAAAATTACCAAAAAAGGGGAAAAAGAACAAAATAAAGAATATAAATATTTTTTCAATAAAAAACAAAACTGCCAAAAACTTAAAAAAAAAACTATGGAAAAAAGCACCACAGCAGTTGAAAGATGCTTGGCTGGGCTGAATTTAGTGGCTGTGAAAAGCGAAATCTTCGTTTACATATTTTTGCATAAAAGTTAAATGAATGAATGGTTAAAGCTGATGCCACTTTAGTTTGGCCATATTTTATATTTTTGTTACACACTTGAAATGATAAAAAAAGCGTATCAAGCAACTACAACAACGCCATACTCGGTAAAATAAAGTGCACTTTATATAATAAATAACTTTCTTTTTATTTTTTGCTCTTTTTACTGCGAGCATTTAAAAGCCTAAAAAACGTCAGAAGGAAAAGTTGTTGGCAAGGGAAAATAAATGTTACATACAGTCTTATAAGAATAAAGCTAAAAAAAAACATTGTTATTTCCTTTTCAAATATTTCCGTTAAGAAGTTGGAAGGCAATAGATTATAAAGAATATTTATTTAACCAGATTTTAGGTAAAGTTTTAAGAATCAACGTGCTTTATGTAGAAGTAAAAAAAGTCAAAGAGATTATTTATAAGTGAGAAACGTAAAAAATGTCTGTGCTGTTGAAAACGTTCCACATATACATACATACATACATACATACATACATACATACATACATACATACATACATACATACATACATACATACATACATACATACATACATACATACATACATACATACATACATACATACATACATACATACATACATACATACATACATACATACATACATACATACATACATACATACATACATACATACATACATAAGTAATCAAATTGTATTAACTTAGTTTGGTAAAGAATTTTGCATAGATTGGCTTTTCGATAAATAATGAAATATAACGATAACGATTTATTAGTTATGGATAACTTTCCTAAAAAAATTTACAGATATGGATATGTTTTGTATAAAAAATTTATGTTATCGATCTCGATCTATACATACCTCTTTGAAACTAGTTAGTTTGAAAGGAGGATGTACATACATATATACATCAAATCGGAAGAAATACACCTTGGACTCTATCGGGCCTGTTGTGCGCTAACCAACTTACTAACTAACTAACTAACTAACTAACTAACTAACTAACTAACTAACTAACTAACTAACTAACTAACTAACTAACTAACTAACTAACTAACTAACTAACTAACTAACTAACTAACTACTAACTAACTAACTAACTAACTAACTAACTAACTAACTACTAACTAACTAACTAACTAACTAACTAACTAACTAACTAACTACTAACTAACTAACTAACTACTAACTAACTAACTAACTAACTAACTAACTAACTAACTAACTAACTAACTACTAACTAACTAACTAACTAACTAACTAACTAACTAACTAACTAACTAACTAACTAACTAACTAACTAACTAACTAACTAACTAACTAACTAACTAACTAACTAACTAACTAACTAACTAACTAACTAACTAACTAACTAACTAACTAACTAACTAACTAACTAACTAACTAACTAACTACTAACTAACTACTAACTAACTACTAACTAACTAACTAACTAACTAACTAACTAACTAACTAACTAACTAACTAACTAACTAACTACTAACTAACTAACTAACTAACTAACTACTAACTAACTAACTAACTAACTAACTAACTAACTAACTAACTAACTAACTAACTAACTAACTAACTAACTAACTAACTAACTAACTAACTAACTAACTAACTAACTAACTAACTAACTAACTACTAACTAACTAACTAACTAACTAACTAACTAACTAACTAACTAACTAACTAACTAACTAACTAACTAACTAACTAACTAACTAACTAACTAACTAACTAACTACTAACTAACTAACTAACTAACTAACTAACTAACTAACTAACTAACTAACTAACTAACTAACTAACTAACTAACTAACTAACTAACTAACTAACTAACTAACTAACTAACTAACTAACTAACTAACTAACTAACTAACTAACTAACTACTAACTAACTAACTAACTAACTAACTAACTAACTAACTAACTACTAACTAACTAACTAACTAACTAACTAACTAACTAACTAACTAACTAACTAACTAACTACTAACTAACTAACTAACTAACTAACTAACTAACTAACTAACTAACTAACTAACTAACTAACTAACTAACTAACTAACTAACTAACTAACTAACTAACTACTAACTAACTAACTAACTAACTAACTAACTAACTAACTAACTAACTAACTAACTAACTAACTAACTAACTAACTAACTAACTAACTAACTAACTAACTAACTAACTAACTAACTAACTAACTAACTAACTAACTAACTAACTAACTAACTAACTAACTAACTAACTAACTAACTAACTAACTAACTAACTAACTAACTAACTAACTAACTAACTAACTAACTACTAACTAACTAACTAACTAACTACTACTAACTAACTAACTAACTAACTAACTAACTAACTAACTAACTAACTAACGAACTAACTAACTAACTAACTAACTAACTACTAACTAACTAACTAACTAACTAACTAACTAACTAACTAACTAACTAACTAACTAACTAACTAACTAACTAACTAACTAACTAACTAACTAACTAACTAACTAACTAACTCATAACTAACTAACTAACTAACTAACTACTAACTAACTAACTAACTAACTAACTAACTAACTACTAACTAACTAACTAACTAACTAACTAACTAACTAACTAACTAACTAACTAACTACTAACTAACTAACTAACTAACTAACTAACTAACTAACTAACTAACTAACTAACTAACTAACTAACTAACTAACTAACTAACTAACTAACTACTAACTAACTAACTAACTAACTAACTAACTAACTAACTAACTACTAACTAACTAACTAACTACTAACTAACTAACTAACTAACTAACTAACTAACTAACTAACTAACTAACTAACTAACTAACTAACTAACTAACTACTAACTAACTAACTAACTAACTAACTACTAACTAACTAACTAACTAACTAACTAACTAACTAACTAACTACTAACTAACTAACTAACTACTAACTAACTAACTAACTAACTAACTAACTAACTAACTACTAAACTAACTAACTAACTTAACTACTAACTAACTAACTACTAAACTACTAACTAACTAACTAACTAACTACTAACTAACTAACTACTAACTAACTAACTAACTAACTAACTAACTTTCGAGCATAAAGCTTATAGATAACATATGAATTTATAAACAATCAAAGGTATCGGTACATTTCATTTAGAGAAACAAAGTTATAAATCACTTTACTATTGATAATTACATTTATTTAGATTATCGACAATTTTTCTATAAAGTTTCAATAATTGTTCTCAAGAAATTTAATTTACTTAACAATCTCAAATTTATCGAACGTTTTCAGCTACGAAAGCACAATTATCGATATGAACACTTCCCTATAGAGCTTCAACATTATCAACAGAGAATCAAATTTGTCGATAACTTGTCTATAGATTATAGAAGTTATGGAAAATTTATTTATAGGTAAATTAGGTTAATGATAACTTTTCTAATTAAATTAAAGTTTGCATAGAAAATAAAGTTGATTTCGATAACTTTTTTACACGAATAAAATAATCGATATCATTCTATAGTGAATCAGAGTTATCGATAACTTTTCTATGTCGAATCAGAGCTATCTAACCAAAACTTATAATGATCAATGTTATCGATAACATTTTGGTAAAAAGAATCAAAGCTATAGATAACTTTATTATAAAAAATTAAAATGTTTCTTTGGCGAATTTATCGATAATATTCCGAAGTTATCGATAATATTCCTAAAGAAAGTCAAGCTATCGACAACTTTTCCAAAGAAAATCAATGTTATTAATGCATATTTTATTGAGAACCAAAATTATCGATAACTTTTTTAATGAAAATCAAAGTTATCGAGAAATTGTCTAAAGAAAATCAAAGTTATCGCCAACTTTTTTAAAGAAATTCAAAGTTATCAATACATATTTTATACGGAATTGATGTTATCGAGGAATTTTCAAAAGAAAATCAATGCTGTCGAAAAACATTCTAAAGAAAGTCAAAATTATCGACAACCAAAAAAAGATCATCCAAGTTATTAATGCATATTTTATAAAGAATTAATTTTATCGATAACTTTTCTAATGAAAATCAGGTGTCGAGAAATTTTCTATATAAAATCAATGCTATCGAAACACTTTCCAAAGGAAATTAATGTTATTGACATCTTTTCCAAAGAAAATCAAAGTTATCAACATTTTTTTCAAAGAAAATCAAAGTTATCGATACATTTTCTAAAGAAAATCAAAGTTATCAATAAATTTTCTGAAGAAAATCAAAGTTATCGATGCATATTTTAAAGAGAGTTAAAGATATCGATAAATTTTCAAAAGAAAACCAAAATTATCGATAAACTTTTTAAAGAAAATCAAAGTTGAAGACAAGTTTTCTAAAATAATTAAAGTTATCGAACTTTTTTTTAAAGTAAGCGATAACTTTTCTAAAGAAAATATAAGTTTTCGATAACTTTCCTAAATAGAAATCAAATTTATTGATAACTATACTAAATATAAAACAAAGTTATCGATAAAATCGATTAAATTTATATTGAAATTTTAATTATAAATTTAAACATATAATTATAAATATGTAGATTATTTATTACTTTTTTTCCAACTTACCATTTAATTTTATAATCCAAAATTGCATATCAGCTGCAGTTGCGCCAGTTGTTAAAGTTTAAACTTTTAATATTTTTTGCACAATAAATTTTGCCAGCGTAGGCTCGAGTTATAAGTCAAAAAAAAAATTGTATTGGTTTTTTTTTGTTGCTTTCAAAACAATTTAATAAACAGAGGTTTGGGTTAACGAATTTATGGCTTTTTTATGTTTCTTTATTTTCGATTTTTGTTATTTTGTATACACTTGTCACTAACAGCGTTTTTACAGCATTTAACCTTAAGGTAAATTGTATTTTATGTTGTTTTTAAACAATTTTATTTTAGTTTTTTATTAAATTTTTTTTGTTGAGAAACTTGTATGTGGTAAATTGTTCAATCTGGAAAAAAAGAATGTATCATACTAATTATTGGCACACGCATTTTTCAAAATTAAATTTTAAAATTTATAAAGCTGGGAGGGGTATGTGAGCCACTTGATGTATATTGTACAGCAAAAGTAAATGGATAAATTGTAAAATTATTAATAAAGTTTAAAAGTATTCATTTAAAGTATTAAATTAAGTTCTCTTTTTCCGAAAAAAAAAGTTTTAAAATTTGTTCATTTACTTTAGGCTTATACTGTTGCTACTGCGTACTATTTCCAGATTTAGTTTGTGGCAAACACACCTCCAGCCTTTGTATTTGCCACAATTTCAAACTAAAGTTTAAACTACAAACTTATCTGGTGAATTGTAATTGTATTCTATTTTAATCACTTTTTATTTTGTAAAATGCAAAAAATCAAATAATTTTTTAATTATAAGTTGTAAATATTTTATGTGTGTTTTATTTTGGCATTAAAATTTATTAATGTTTTTGTTGTTGTTTTTATTATTTAATACTTTATATTTAATACTTTTAATATTTCCACTTAATTGTTTTTATTATTACATTTCACTAGAATTTATTGGATTTTTTTCGTTGAGTTTTAAAAGTTTGAAATTTTTACAAGTATTGCGAGTTTTTTAATATTTGGATAAATGATATATATTATTTTTTATTTAGAGATGTTAAATAAACATTATATATACAAATGAAAATATATTTACATATGTACATATATAAAAGTAAAAATATCAAAATATAGACTTTTGCAAAAAGTACATTCTATGACGACCTGGTTTATTTATTATTCTATTAACAAGTCTATGAGCAACTCTATTGACCAGTCTATGGACTAGTCAATAAAATAGTCTATGGTCAGATTCTTGATTGTTCTATAGACTAGTCTAATGAATACTAGACTGAGTTGTCTGTTGACTCGTCTACAGAAAAATCTAAGAATTACTCTATAATATTGTGGAATTTGATACAGTATTTATTGACTAGCCCATATAGTACCCTATGGACTGATTTATAGACTATTCTATTAACTAGTCTACGGACTATTCTAATGAGTTGTCCATAGAGAAGTCAATTAATTTTTCGATTGACTAGTCTACAAACTAATAACTTGTCTAACAAATACACAGACTGATTTGTCTGTGTATTAGTCGATTGCCTAGTCTACATGGATTGGTCTATTGACTATTGCATTGATTATTCTATGGACTAGTATATATATCTTTTCTATTGACTTTTCTATTGATTCGTTTATTGACTAATGTATGGACTAGTTTACTGACTAATCTATAGACTAGTCTATTCACAAATCTATGAACTAGTCTATAATGCCTATTGACTATATACTTGTCTATTGGCTGCTCTATTGACTAGTATATTGACTTGTCTAAAGACATATACATATACTTGACTTCTATACAGAATAGCCTATCGACTATTCAATGGACTTGTGTGTTAAGTAGTCTCGTCTAATCTATAAATTATTTATTAATCTATGCACAAATCTATGTACTGGTCCTCTGACTAATCTGTGGATTATTATATTAACTATAGTCCGATTGAAATATATATGGCCTTGCCAATAGACATATCTATATACTAGTCTAGGTACTAGCCTATTGACTTCTATACAGAATAGCCTATTGACTATTCAATGGAGTTGTCTGTTAAGTATTAACTATAGTCCGATTGATTTCTCTATTGACCAGCTTATAGGCTAATGGGCTACTCCGTAGACTAGTACATAGACAAATCGATAGGCTAGTCCATATCCCCGTCAATGGATTTGTCAATAGACATATCTACACTAATCTATTGGTTCCTATATTGACAAGTCAATGGACTTGTCTATTAACTAGTTGATGGACTGATCTATAGACTTGTCTATAAACTCGTCTATTGACTCCTCAACTGAGTAATCTATGAACCATTGACATTTCTATTGACTAGTTTATTCACTTTCCTATTGTCTAGTTAATGGGCTAGTATATGGACTTGTCTATTGACTAAACCATGGACTATTCTGCAAATGAGTCTACGGACTAGACTGAGTACAAATCTATTGACTTTTGTATAGAATAGTCTATTGAATTTTCTATTAACTGGTCTACTGGCTATTAAATGGACTAGTCTATGGACTATTCTCATAAATGAACTAATCTATTGACTAAAGAACAAAATGCATACTAAGTTTTCACCTTAGATATGAATTCTTTAAAACAATACTCTTCGACATATATTGACCTATATTCTAAAGAGTATTTTATAGAAAATCTTTAACTGGAAAAGTGTCTGCCACATAAAATTCACTTATTATTTCTCTTTTTCATAAATTAGATTATTTTCCTGAAACTAACAGTTTTGCTACAAAATTTTTTTTTAAATATTTTAAACAAATATCAATTAAAATGAATGTAAATTTAACAGCTAATATTTTAATTTCAACTTATAATAAAATATTTATTTGTTTGCAGTTTTTGTTTGTAATTAATTAACTATTACATTTAATTAACATATTCATTTAAATCATTTTTTGCCCCTTTTTTGTACAATTGACTTTTTTGTTTAAACAATCGACACCTAGAGAAAAAATCTTTGTTTACTTTAGTCGTGACAATCAAATTATGTTAAAAGTAGCAATGAAAAGACTACCGCAAGCAAGTATTTGTTCAAAAATCAGTTTTTAATTGTAAATATATTGTGTTAATATTAATAGTGACAAACATTTATATGATTACTATAACCATTAATATGATTCTATGTAACCATTCTAAACCTATTATTCTCTACGTGTATAAATTTCAATAGTTTAACAAAATAACAGTTAAATTCAATTAAAGTTTATACTATACATTATTTATCTTGCACATTTTTTATCTAAAACATATTATTTGTTCTATTTTGTATAAATAATTTATTTTACACACATTTATAGTCATTTACTATTTTATATTTATTCAATTAATTCATATTAATTGTAACACCAAATTTGGCATAAAATTCTATTATTCAACAAAATGTTTTGTCTGTAAGTGAATATTTGAATCTATATACATATTTTTTTGTTCATTTCAACAATTTATTTAGTTACTTCAATATGAATTATTTATGAGATTTAAGAAAACAAGAAGAAATCAAACCAACAAAATTTAATGAATAATCACCCCCAATGATTAAAGATTCATTTATAAGGTTTAAAACTTTTGAAGGGAAATTTAAAGATTTCAGGTTATACATACTATTTACTGGACTCTTTCCTTCTATTCATTACAGACTCAAGTGTATTTTTATTTTACTATTGCAATTTCAGTCAGTAACAATTTTAATTAAGTACGATGCTTTTAACTACTTCTATTGTTAACAATTCGTTGAAAATCATTCAACTACAATTATTTTAATGAAAAACTTATTTAACAGGTGCTTTGTTTAGTTAAATGAAATACTCTATACAAGTATTTGTATTTCATAGTTATAGAGGGGTATTTCTTGTTATTTATGTATAGAATTTATTCTAGCAGACATTTAAGTTAAAGTGTTAGACAGAAGCCAAATAAAATATAATTTAAACACTTTTTATGTACTAATGTAATGTAATTATTTGAAATCAACTTTCGAAGGGTCCCATTTATTATCTTGCGATTATAAGTCTTTACTGAAACTTTTACTTATTTGAAAACTTCCATATTGAAAAGCAACGAAATATGTCCTTGAAAAGCTAAAAAGCAACTATCAATTGTATCAATTATCCTGATATGTACTATATGTAAAATACTAAAAAATATTTATTTGAAATAATATTTTGGAGAGATATAAGATACTTAAAGCAACTAAAATAAATTTATTAAATGTTTCGAATTTAAAATAAATTTTTTATAAAGGGCACTGTTTAATAAACTCTTGATAAATTATTCCGAACTCTTTAAAAACATGCATATAAAAAGGTCAACATGTTTCCCCAAAATAGATTTAAATATTTTCAGGTTTATTAGTTTAAACATTAAATAAAATTATTGTGTGCACAGATTATCTTTTTACCTTTTAAGTAAATGACATTTAATATTTTACACTGAGTAAGAAAGTTCTAGAAAGTAATAGAATTCGAAAGGTTTCTTTTCATTTAAAAATTTATTATTTTAAAAATTATTAAGAACTGAAGAACTAAAACAGTACCGCAATTCAGTAACTTTTAAACTACAAAATTTTGTCGTAGAACTGAACTAGAACTGAACTAGAACTGAACTAGAACTGAACTAGAACTGAACTAGAACTGAACTAGAACTGAACTAGAACTGAACTAGAACTGAACTAGAACTGAACTAGAACTAGAACTGAACTAGAACTGAACTAGAACTGAACTAGAACTGAACTAGAACTGAACTAGAACTGAACTAGAACTGAACTAGATCTGAACTAGAACTGAACTAGAACTGAACTAGAATTGAACTAGAACTGAACTAGAACTGAACTAGAACTGAACTAGAACTGAACTAGAACTGAACTAGAACTGAACTAGAACTGAACTAGAACTGAACTAGAACTGAACTAGAACTGAACTAGAACTGAACTAGAACTGAACTAGAACTGAACTAGAACTGAACTAGAACTGAACTAGAACTGAACTAGAACTGAACTAGAACTGAACTAGAACTGAACTAGAACTGAACTAGAACTGAACTAGAACTGAACTAGAACTGAACTAGAACTGAACTAGAACTGAACTAGAACTGAACTAGAACTGAACTAGAACTGAACTAGAACTGAACTAGAACTGAACTAGAACTGAACTAGAACTGAACTAGAACTGAACTTGAACTGAACTAGAACTGAACTACAACTGAACTAGAACTGAACCAGAACTGAACCAGAACTGAACTAGAACTGAACTAGAACTGAACTAGAACTGAACTAGAACTGAACTAGAACTGAACTAGAACTAGAACTAAACTAGAACTAACTAGAACTGAACTAGAAGTGAACTAGAACTGAACTGGAACTG